AATACCAAAATGGTAGTCAGGAGGTGTAGATTCTAGTATATTTTGCAACTAATTTTTAGATCCAATAACTTTGCCTGCTCTACCACCACACAATGGTGTAAAATTAGGTGTTAAAGTAGCCATAATTCAGCTTAATTTTGAACATACACCAGGTACTTAAAAATACAAAGGTCCATTTTATATTATCTACAGAAATAATATGCTGGAAATGTAGGACCATCACACTGTCTTACTCAGAAGAGATTATAAAAACTATTAAGCACTGTCCTTTGTTATTGAGCAGCATACTTAATTAAAGCCTTCACAGAATTAAAAAAGCAAAGCACAATGAATACAAAAAGATACCTTGGCAGTACCTGGAAAACTCCAGGACTTACCCTTACCCCCTCCTCCGCCGCCTCCTCTGTGGTCCACCAGCTGCATCAGTTTGGGATTGATAGCCTGATTAGCTTCTTCCAGCACTTTGATCAACTCTCTGGCCTGCTTGAGGTTTCCCGGGGTGAAGAAGGTGTAGGCAGTGCCCTTGTTGGTGCTACGGGCTGTTCGGCCAATGCGGTGCACATAATCCTCGGAGCTGTTTGGATAGTCATAGTTGATCACAAACTTGACATCTTCCACATCTTCAAAGCCAACGGTGAGTCAGTGTGTAGGTGGACGTGGCAGGGAAAGAGAAGGTAAAGGACATGCCAACAACAGGTGGAAAGCACAATGCAGATGACAGCAAGAGGAGAGAAGATTAAGTTAGTAACCACTCTGAACAGGAACAAAAAAAGACTCATCCCAACAGAGTAAAAGAGGATTAATGATTCTTGGGACATGCACAAGAAGTGGCATCTTTATCAGCTGTAAAATCCTAAGGGAATCCCATCCAACCATCCAAACTCCTGCCTCTTCTGTCTGTATTTTAACCAATATACTGACAGAAGTCACACCAAATTCCAGCTCTATATTTTTCAAAACTGGAATGAAGAAAGTGGTACCACCATTAAGTTAAAAGGCCAAATCACTTCTACTCTGTTGGGAGAAGCCTGTCAAAATCTACAAGAAATATAACAAACTTACCTTTAAACCAGTCACAGAGCACAATGAAAAAACAAAACAAACAAAAAAACAAAACAAAACAAAAAAAAACTCCATATACTTTATTACATTTTAAGGAGACTTAATAAAAATATTTTAAAATCTTTTGCTCTTATATTTTAAAAAACCAACCAGAGCCCAAGTATACATCTAGTTTCCTTTGCAGAAACATCCAAATTATCTTTCCCTTTCAATTACAAGAGCACATTACACTAAAATTTCACTGTACTACCAAGCCCAGCTCTGCCAAATGAAGGTATTTTTGCTCAACTCAAGGTTATTTTAACTCAATACTTGCTTCAATTTATCAAAGATTGTCTATGTAACCTGGGAAATTAAATAGCCAGAGTGTGGGAAAAACCATGAAACCTTGAGACACAAGTTTAATGTTCTGTCCACTGCTGGGAATTGAGTTGAATAACCTCCTAATGCTTAAAGTATGTAAATGTTAGTGTAATGCTTTCAGCTAAATGTACCTTTTTTTTTTACCTACTTAAACAAAAACAAATTTAAGAATATAACAAAGAATCCTAATGTTTTGTGGAAAAAATCTGCATTTTACAAAGAATATTCAGAAAATATCCTAGATAAAACACAGATTTTTGTGATATAAATAATTAAAAAACATTCTCTGTTTGTTACCAGACCGATGCACACTCCCTCCTCCTTTGGGAAACCGCTGCAGCCGATCCCGTCTCTTTGCCTTTTATTTTTGGCGGCCTCCTTTCGAAAACTCCGCCTTCTGACACGGGACCACTGGAGCGCGGGGAGCATGCATCAAGGGTCCGTGGCAGTGAGAAGTCCCCACACACGCTCGCTCTGTGAACTGGCTTAGATGCTTCTCTGTAGCCCCATTTGGTTGCCAAGCGCCGGAGAACCTGGGTTCGGGTAAAAATTTCAGGTCCTCCAACGCCTCCCCCAAGGATAATTGGGGTGATTGTAGAAAAAAATAATTAATAAAAAAATGTAAGTTACATCCAAAGGGTCAGACTGCATCTATTGCCCAGACTGGATTAATTTCAGGGGAAGGGGTAAAGATTAAAAAAAAAAAAAAATCAGCTATTGTTAAAGGGCCTGCGAAGAAAGGGGCATTATGTCTGTTTCTTATTACAATAAAGGCTCCTCAGTCTTTACTGACCCCTAAAGTCCTGAAATCACACCAGAAAGACGAGAAGGCAGTCATCACAGGGGGCAGCGTGAGTCTCCGGCTAGGGTCGTTGATGCAATAAAGGAAAAACAAAAATTTACAGGGCCAGGACGGATGTGAGGTGGGGATGGGAAATTAGCTCCATGACCACATCTTCAGAGATAGGATAATGCTCCTTAGTCAATCCCATTGTGTCTGACCATGGGCAGCAGAGCAAGCTGAGCTACTGCACAGGATGTCCAGACGTGTGCTTTCCTAGCAGAAAGCACTGGGGACTGAAGTCAACGGTTCAGATACTAATACTTGGGAGTATTTCTGGAGGGGTTCAATAGGGGGCAGACATGGTGCAAGTTCTTCATACTAGAAAGGTGTCCTGTACGTGCACAGAGCTGGCTGAGGACACGTAAGAGCAAGCGCAGAATTTGATTTTCTCCAGTCAAGCCTGCCCTGATGTTATTTGTGCACGGCCACAATATTATCTTGCTGCCTTTAGAGAAGATGCTGTAGCAGGGTGAGAAATTGAAAAGTTAATGTTTGGCCAACTGCCTAGGGTAACAGCTTTTTGTTTGACAAGCCCTATAACATGGCCTGAATCTCCAATCACTAATTGGGTGGGACTGACTAGCCAATAGGCTCATCTAGAGCTGCTTCGGGCCAATGTAGATTTGCCTCAGCCATGTACTGAGTGATCTGCAGCTGATATCAAAGCTTCTGTTAAAAAACAAAACAAAATAAATTCAATACTTTTAGCTTAACAGCATGTAGTTTAAACAAAAAATGGAAAAATCAAAAATATCTAAGTGGGAAGGGAGTAATAAATAGTGATTTCCTGAGGATATTATAACATTATGGGAATCAAAGAACTTACCTGAAGGGAACATTTAAGAGGCCATCGCTGGACAGGAAGTGAAAAAAGGCCTGGTGACTCAGCTGAAAATTGCACCCCTGTCTATGAGGTAGAAGCCTTCACTTTCCAGGATCTTGTAGGACCTTGGTCAGCATTCTGCCATTTTGGTGGGTTTTCCCTCCTTTTGATTTTTACAAGGCAGCAAACAAAGGGGCCCAAAACAAGCACTGATGTTGAGTAACAAGAAACAGACTCGGGTATCTTCCCTCTCCCCGCACTGGGATGAGTGGGGGTGGGATGAAGAGTCTTAAGTTATTCTAATGGCAGCCAATTGATTTGGTTTAGAAATGCAGGGGGACAGGGAACCAGTATTTTTAAATGTCTAGGCAAGATGCACAAAGAAGCTACCAGCACATAGCAAGCCTGTTTAAAAACCACCATCCCTGAAAGCTTTCCTGGAACTGCTTTCAGGCCTCAGCCTCTTGTCCCAACAGGCCCAGTTCTAAGCGCACAGATCCAGACATGACCTGAGGGCAGAGGCAGTTTCAGTCATGGCTGCAGGTCACCACCTCTGAAGGAGGGAATGATGAGTGCAATGTAGTCTTCATTACTTTTGTATTCCAGTTAACTGAACAGCTGTTCTCTTTGCTAAATATTATGAGGGAATATGGTACTTCTCACCTTACTGGGCAAGAAATTAGGTACCAACCAATAATTTAAAAGTTATCTTTGTGACAGAAGTAATACCTTTTTTAATGTAAAAGTTTTGAGTTACCCCTGTTTAAGCTCAGAATAGGCTAAAATACAAAATATCTCTGTATATCTTAAATCATAACAAGTCACAAACTCCAGGGAAAAAAGCCTCAAATTAAGTTTTTAAATTGGAAGATGGCATGTCAATGATATAAGTATGGGTAGGAGGGGATGAATGAAATAGTTCCCATAATAATTTTACTTCAGTAAATAAAGTTGGGCAATGGAAATTTAATTGCAGAATGATATCATGTTTACAGACTTATTAAATCCCAAGAATATATTGTGTTAGCATCCATGGAATTGGACCTCTCTCTATATACAGCACAGACTGGTATAAGGAAAAGAGGAAATGGAAAACTAGTTTCTAACGGCTAGGTGCCATCGGGCTCCTTCCACCCAGACAACAGAAGCTGAGCTGTTTAACTGAACGTCTCCGCTCCCTCTAACTGTATGAACAGTCATGCCTAGGCCTTGCTGCAGACCAAAGCCTGTTTATCAGGAGCAGGAAGAGACTTGGAAAATAAAAACCAAAAACAAAAATGCCAAGGTTAAAAAAAACTGTGGGGGTAAAATAAAATAAAAAATTAGGCTTGTGTATTCCTTTCCTTTAAATATTTATCTAAATACACATATATACAACTCTAATTTGAAATGACAAATCTTTAAACCAAAAGATACATATACCATTGATAGAGACACCTATCTATACAAACCTAGCCCACGGGAGGCTACATCTGTGGCGATGAGGATGGGAGCCTTCCCAGAACGGAACTCTGCAAAACAAAAATGATACCGTGAAAACCAAGCTGCACACTCAAGACAATTTCAAGTGATGGTGTCAGACCATGCCTCGGTCTTTTACATTGAAGGGAAATAGTAATTCTTTTGAAAATCTTTATTACATTCCCTTTTAGCAGAGGAGCCAGAACAGTAATAGACTAAGTTACCTCTAATAAGGGCCACACACACGCCATTAGAAGCTTAGAGCTTTCAGGCCCACCCCCTCATGCTTGGAGAAGGGAAAAGGGGCTGGAGATTGAGTTAATGATCAATTATGACTACACAATAAAGTCTCTATACAAATCTCAAAAAAATACGAGGTTTGGAAAGCTTCTGGGCTGGTGAGCATATCTATAAAGACAAGAACTTATTACATAAAGGAAGGATGGCATAGGTTGTACAAAAGTGCGAAGAGCCAGCATTACTGACCTTAAAGGACAGCAAAGATATGCCAAAAATGCCCCCAAATTCCACTAACTAGAGCAATGCCAGGCAAACTCCAGCCTGCAGGTCAAATGGCACAATGCCTATTTTTGCAAATAAAGACTTGTTGGAACACAGCAAGGCTGTTTCTTACATATTGTGTCTGACCATTTTTGTGCTACAAGAGCAAACTAACAGGCGTGACACAAACCGTCCTACAGCCTGCAGAGCCTAAAATACTTACTGTCTGGTCCTTTTACAGAAAGTGTGTCAGTCCCTGAAATAGACTATGAACGATGCTGTTTTGAACTCACCATTAAGTACCCAATCTCTTTCTGGTTGACTCTTGTCTCCATGGATACACATAGCTGGCCAACTGTCAGAAGAAAAGTGACCAATATTTTAGAAATCTTTTTTTAAAATGGAGGAAAACTAAGCTTTAAAAAAAAGAAGTGCAACCATATGGAATTATGAAGGTTTATTATAGACTACATAAGAAGAAGACTATGTCCATTTAAAGAGCAAAGGCATTATTAGGCATTATTAAACTATTATACAACATTCACAACACCAATCGAGAAATTCCTACTGAACTATAAAACCCAAAACTAATCAATTACTTCGGTTCTGCACTCACCCATCTCTGCGCATCCTTCGAGTGAGGTCATCACAGCGTCTCTTTGTCTCTACAAATATTATTGTCTTATTTTCCTTTTCAGCCATTATTTCCTCCATGAGTTGGATCAACCTGAAAACAAGACCAGCAACAGTGCAGCCATTCAGAGACCTCCCTACACATTACGCAGAAGCTATGTCTGCAACATCAACCCCCCACAGCACTTTCTCTTCACATTACTTTCTATACAGCTGATAATTATCAGAGCTGGGATTTAAGTCCAAGGATCCAGAATTCTTTGCCTTTAACCACAACAAATGACATGAAGGATAGATTGTTGGAAAGTTAGCAGTGTTTTAAGTGTTTTCAGACCTCAAAAAAAAAAAAAAGTTTCTCCAATGCTTTAATTTTGGAGGATTATTAAGGAAAGGTTGATCAGAATATGGAAACAGTGCAATCACTCATACTTGTGGTCTTTTTCACTTTCCATGCAGACATCCACGATCTGGAGGATGTTGTGGTTGGCACTCAGCTCCAGGTTGCCCACGTTGATCTGGGTGTAATCACGAAGGAAGTCCTCCGCAAGCTGTCGCACTTCCTTTGGCCAGGTTGCACTCCACATCAATGTCTGCCTATCAGGCTGTAAAGAAAGGAAAGGCTTTCTTTTAGGCTAAAGAACTGCGACAGGCAAAGGGTATAAATAGAGCGTATTACCAGCTTTACACACCCTGATTTGGTCAACAATTTTACGGATCTGGGGTTCAAAACCCATATCAAGCATTCTGTCAGCCTCATCCAGTACAAGGTAAGTACATCGGCGAAGATTTGTCTTTCCTGACTCCAGGAAATCTATCAGGCGCCCAGGAGTAGCTATACAGATCTCAACACCTGTAAAACAAAACCGAAGATCTGGCAACTAAGAATCTTTTTTTTTTTTTTAAAGCCTCACCCAAGGGTATGTTTATGTATGTTTTTTAAATTGATTTTTAGAGAGAGGGGGTAGGGAAGAGAGAAAAACATCAATGTGAGAAACAGCGATCGGTTGCCTCCAATTCGCGCCCCGACTGGGGATCGAACCTGCAACCTTTTGGAGTACGGAACAATGCTCCAACCAGCGGAGCCACCTGGCCAGGGCAATTAAGAATCTTTACACACTGTCCAAGCCTTGGCAAACTAATAAGCACCGTCTCTGGTGGTGGTACTCCATGCTGCAGAGAACTAGCTAGCTACATTTTAACTTACTACCTGGAAAAGCACGTTGTAAGAATTTAGGCATAATCATCAAATCTTCACAAAGTATACGTAAGTCTCTAGCCATGTTGAACTTTCCCAAAGTAGTATTTTAACCATACCTAAAAATTTTAACCTACTGAAATTTTTTCACAACCCTCTATTTTAGTCTTAAATTTCATTAACAGAAATTGACAAAATGAGAAATTAATAATTCATATATGCTAATTTTAAAAAATTACCTCGTTCCAAGTCTCGAATCTGGGGACCTTTAGGAGCACCTCCATAAATGCAAGTACTCTTCAATTTTGAACATTTGCCATAGTCATCAGCCACCTGCTGTACCTGCTGGGCAAGCTCTCTTGTAGGAGCCAGAACTAGACACTGAAACAAACAAACAAAATACTTGAAACACATATCCCAAGTTTTTTTTAAAAAGTACAAAAGGCTATCTAATTCTTTTTCTACTAATTTGGTACTTCAAAGTATGTAATGGGGTGGGAGGATGATGGTTTACTTTTGACATATGGTTCATTACTGTTTATATATGCTATTTAAGTGGATTTACAGATTATATTACCTAGTTTTAACTAAAGAACTTCCACAAAATGAACAAATGGCTCTAAAAAGATACCTTTGATTAAGTATTAGCGAAAAATAGATGAGCCCTGGCCGGCACGGCTCAGTGATGAGAGCATCAGCCTGCGCACCAAAGGGTAAAGGGTCGTGGGTTTGATCCCCAGCACGATCAGGGCACCTGTGGGAGGCAACCAATCAACGTGTCTCTCCACATCAATGTGTTTCTCCCATCCCACCCCCCTGCCACGTCCAACTCTCTAAAATAGCAATGGAAAAAATATCCTCGGGTTAGGATTGTAAGAAAATAGAGCTGACCCTTTTCTGACTTCTAGTTTAAGCTCTCAGCCAGGCACCTTAGGCAAAAACAATGACTTATACACAATCTGATAAGTAGTTGGCCAAAATGATACAAAATTAAGACACTCTGAAACAGGTATCATATACACTGTTAACTATGACTCTTGCTCTTTACTGATCCATCAGATACTAGCTAATGATAATAAAGCTAACGCAGCCACATGGAATACATTACATATTACATAATGCAAAGTAATGTTATTTCTTTTTGTGGATATTAAGACATACTGCAATAACGTACATATTAATATAGCAAGTACGAGCTCAATTAAAAAAAAAGCACAGCCCTGGACACTGTGGATCAGTTGGTTGGGCGTCACCAAAAGGTCCCAGTCCAGACACATGCCTGGGTTTTGGCCTCAATTCCCAGTAGGGGTGTACAGGAGGCAGCCTATCTATGGTTCTCTCCCTTTCCCTTTCTCTCTCTCAAAATCGATAAAAACATTTTAAAAAACAAAACAAAAACAACAGATACAAATGTATTCAAAATGTTTAAAGACCACTACTTGAACTTATAGGAAACAGCTGGAGTGAAAAGAATCAAAACAGAAAACTACGCTGCCCTATAAACATTAACAAAAGTGTTACTTAGCCACAAAGAATATACATCCCAAACCTGACTTAAATCCAGAGCAGGGACCTCATTTCACTCCTCTTTTGTATCCCCCAGAGAATCACTGAGCAATTAAGAACTGCACTTGAACTAATGCCTATATATGAAGGTAGTATGCACAGTGCTTAGGAGTAATATTGATTCAAATTCAAGCTTAATTATTTATAGCTGTATGACCTTGGACAGGTCATTTAATTGCACTCTCTAAAATTTATCAGTAAGATGGGGATAATATCACTTCCAGATATGGAGGGTAGAGATGAGAATGAAATCTGAAAAAGTATGCAAAGCACAGTGCCTAAACACAATAATCATTAAATTAGTTATTCTTAGAATTATAAGCAAACTGAAACACACTTACGATTGGACCATCTCCCCTTTCCAAGTATGGCTGATGGTTAATATGAACAATTGCAGGCAGCAAATACTGAGGGGGAAAAAGAAGAACAGTCTTGTAAGAAAACTGAGTCATTATCTTAACAGTTCTAAATTATCACAGTAATTGACAATGTCCAACTGGGAAAATGAAAACAGTACAACTGTTGACCAATATGTGCAATGCAAATTTAAACACAAAATGCTTCCATCTAGCTCATATAGCTAATAAAGCTAAAATATTACTACCTACACAATATAAATTAAAATTTTATAAAGAACTGAGAAATATATATATTTAGAATAGCAAAATAAGTCACCACAATGTTGAAAATCTTCCCATGCCGGTACGTACCGCTAATGTCTTCCCAGAGCCAGTCTGAGCAATGCCCACCATATCCCGGCCACTAAGAGCCAATGGAAATCCCTGGCACTGAATCGGAGTTGGTTCTGTGAAATGCTGATCCATCAATACATCCATTACATACTCTGTAAGAGGATAAATATTAATGCTTTTAGTAAAACTAAACACACAGCCATAAGAATTCTTTTTAAAAAATATTTTATTGATTTCAGAGAGGAAGGGAAAGGGAGAGAGAGAGAAACATCAATGATGAGAGGGAATCATTGACTGACTGCCTCCTGCACACCCTCTACTGGGGGATCAAGCCAGCAACCCGGGCATGTGCCCTTGACTAGAATTGCACCCGGGACCCTTCAGGCCTCTATCCACTGAGCCAAACCAGCTAAGGCCAAAAAAATTCTAAAGCACTGTTTTTGGCAAATTTACCCAGCTTTACCTCTCTCCATGAGAGGTGTTTTTTTCTTTAGTTACTAAATCCCTGATTTGCTAACTACTACCTTTCAGAGAGCTGCTGCCAGAGCCATTTACCTTTCCCTTCAAAAACTTGAAAACCACTGCCCTCAAGTATCTTAACAAGGCACTGGCACATGGCAATCACTTATTGTTCCCCAAATTCAAATTATATCCAGCTGGAAAGCAATTCCATTCTGCTGGTTTTTTAACAGGTAGAGGCAAACCCCCTAGGGCAGCGATTTTCAACCAGTGTTCCGCAAGCATTTTTAAAACCTGCAATACCTGACTATCCAGTCAGGGAGACGGACCTCTTTTCCTTAGATAGTCAAATAGAAAAATGACAACAGCCAGCCAGTGTGAATGAGTCAAAATCACACCTTTTCTGTCAGCTTGGCAGAAAATGTATGTATTTTTGGTGGCCACAGAATTTTAATAATTAGTGTATGTGTGCCAACGCTGAAAATCACTGCCCTGGGGGAAGAGGAAACTCTAGTTCTAAATCAGAAAATAGATGAGCATTAAAAAAAAACATTTTTTAATTGATTTCAGAGAAGGAAGAGGGAGATAGAAACGTTAACGATGAGAATCATTGATCGGCTGCCTTCTGCACGCCCTACACTAGTTCATAGGTTGACGCTCAACCACTGAGCCATGCCGCCAGGCCATAATTACTTTGGTGAAAAGTATTCTACTTGGGTTTTCAACAAAGCGACGAGTATGGTTCAAAACCTTTAAACAATCTATTACCCATGTTTACCATTCAACCCAAATTAACAATGAAGATCCTGGTGAGAATACTTACGTGGGAAGTTAGCATGATGGAAGGCAAAAACAGGTTTAGGACAAACATCTCCTCCTCTCACTGTAATCTCCTTCTTACGGCGTAGTTCATCAACCTCATACTATGGAAGACCATGAAGGAAGACAAATTAATAAACAAGTTATTTTAAACATGCAAAAAACCTTATATAGCAATCTAGTTGAACAATTATCATCCCATTTGAAATCAAAATGAAAAACGATTGAGGAGTCACCCAACTTTGTCAGTCAATAAAGCAGGTGATAAGAGTTCCATTTTCCACACGAGAAAACAGATACTCAGAAATGTTAAGTAGCTTGCCCAAAATCAGAACTAGGAAGAGGGAGAAAATATAATCCTATCCTATATAATAAAAGCCTAATATGCTAAGGGTCCGACCCGTCGCTGACCACCAGGGGGCAGGCACTCCAACTAGTAGGTTATCTTGCTGCTGGGGTCCAGCCTATTGGGACTGGGCGACACAGGCCAGACATACCCTGGAGCCCTCCCACGGTCCCTCCCCAGCCTTGATTGTGCACCAGTGGGGTCCCTCAGCCTGGCCTCGCCTGAACCCTCTAGCAATCTGGGACCCTTCGGGGGATGTTGAAAAGCTAGTTTCGGCCCGATCCCCGCAGGCCAGGCCGAGGGACCCCACCGGTGCATGAATCTGTGCACTGGGCCTCTAGTAATGAGCTTAAAAACCAGGAGTACGCAATGCTAATATTTTAAATTTATTTAACTTACTTCATAGATGAAAAAACATGACCTCATATACAGATAAAGCCATGTATGACAAATTGGTTGAAAGCATAACCAACAAATGAGAACCAAGCAATCAATACAAAAGTACATATTTAAACTAGTTTCTCTTATGAGTACTAGCAGTTTTACTAAGAACCTAAGGAAGTACCACTGCACTAGAATAAAACATATAACAGCAATAGCAATGTATGTATAAATTCTGGCTACTATGTCTACTTAGTTCATTATTGTGTATAAAAAAGGTAAATAAATAAATATACCCCACCCCCACCAGAACTCACTGGAGTCAGCCTTGCCACTTCTGGATGTTCCACATAAAAGTTCTTCTCAAACTTGGGGAGCTCACTCAAATCCCACTTTTTTTTACGTAAACGCTCCCCAGGATTACCAAATTTCTTTGGGGGAAGGCCGCCACCACCTCTTGCTCCAAATCTGGAAATAGCAAAAATTTTAGCTGTTAGTATTTCAAAAGAAATATACCTTAGGTACCATAAAACATGCAAAAGATAGGGTACAGTTATAATAGGTGAAAAATTAAAAATTATTAATATATCACGAGGATTTCAACCAGATTCTGAAATTCAAAAGAGTCTGAATTTTAACTCTGCCAATTACAAGGTGATTTTGAGCAAATTATTTAACTTCTCTGTCCCTCGGTTTCTTATGCAAAGTAGAAATACCACTTATTTCAGAAGTTGCTGTAAAGACTAAATGAGCAGGTATGAAGTGCTTAAAACAGTATCTGGTACAGTAAGCACTCGGTACAAGTTAGCATTCAATCAATACTTCCTGGGTATCCCTATATCACAGGTACTGTTTGAAGAGGTCAATATACTAAAGTGAGTAAAACAAGTCTCTACTCTTTTGTAATTAATATTCAGACAAGTAGGTAAGGGAAAACATTAGTTTAAGCTTAAGTTAAGGGTAAGACTGCAACAGGTTGTACTGACTATTTTAAAAGGTCTTAATTTCCTGGATTTCAAGCAATTCTTGAAACTCTGGCTTAAAGACCTAGCTAGACTTGTCTCTAACTACAAATAGATATAAAGATTGTTGGCAGGAAATTTTCTTGGGGCCACTGAATACCTACATTCAATAGGCAGAACTCAGTCAATTGCATTTATACTACTGCTCAGCTGGCAAGAGAAACCAGGAACCAAAACAGGAAAAGCATAAAGCATACAGATACATGTATCAAAGGTAAAACATCTGTGACATTTTCAATATGCTCGCAGGTCCAAAAACCATCTGGACCAGCTCCCCCCTCCCCCCACACACATTTGTAAATGAACCAACACAATTTTAGTAACAGAAAAGCCAAGTCTCTAAACAGTCTTGTAAAGAAAGTAAAAATAAGCAAAGACCAACTTTTAGAGATTGTCAGTATAGTTTATGTAAATTTATGTGGTTCCTAGAAGGTGCCATTTCAATGCTGCTGCATTCCAATGTGACCAAGACCTTAAATAAGGAATTAGAACAACTTTCCAACAGTAAGGTTCCTGTTAAGGTTTATAAAAAAGAACCCCTTATTTTATTAAATAAAAATGCTTTTTCCTTTCTCCTTAATGCCTTGGCTAATTATCCAAGACATACCATCCTACACTAATGATATAATTTGAAACATGGGGTTCTTTATAAATATGCTGTCTTCTACTTTTATAATTAATGCTGATTTCAATATATATTCAAGAGAGCCATTTACCTTTGCAGAATTTCATAGCAAATTCATACCATCCTTTAAAGATGCATGTGTCCTAATTACCCTGGCATACTGTGCTGCTCATTAAATGCTTTATTGAGCATTAACAGTTTAATCTGACTCTACATACCAACATGCAAAACCATGCTAGTTAAAATGAACAATGCACACTTTGGACTGTACAAGTACACTGACCTCACTCATTCCCCGTTGAAAATAATAACCCATTTCAGCTCTGTAACACAGTTAAGGACAAAACAATAGCAATTCAAAACATGAAAAAAAAAATTCATAGTGGGCAACCCACTTGGGTCCCCTCCCTGCTAGAGGGAGTCTGTCTCTCAATAAACTTTGCTTTCGCTTAAACATTTTTTTCATAGTAAATGTAGTTAGGACACATATTTTGAGTGTCACTTTGCTTGAAATGAATAATTTTTAAAGCATTTAAAAAAATGCCATCTGATACTAAAGAGTCAATATGGGATAAACTAAATATGAATCAGTAATTCACTTTTCAAATTTTATTACTAAAGCAATATATGATGCAATGAAATATTAAGTCAAACAGGCAATAGGACATTTACCTGTACGTTGGTAGCCTCTGTATGCCTATTTCAAATTTACAACACCCATCATAACTACCTCGAATGTTAAACATTCCCTTGCTTTTAGTCTTGCCATGTTTGTAGGTATCCTTCTATGCATTATCCTACCACATCTTGCTTTTCTCTCTTGTATTCTACTGTGTGAGTACCCACAACTTATCCAGTCGTTTATTTCCAATATTGTCACGAATGATGCTGGTACAAACTTGTCTGTACATGAATGCTGGACAGATGTGCAAGGATTCCTAGGCCTTAGAGCTTAGGGTAGAAAGCTTGAGAGGAATTACCGGACCATTTAACTTTAGCGGGTAATCTTTTTCCTAAGGTTGTAAACTTAGGAAATTCACTTCTAAACTTAGTTATACTAGGAAACACTTAACAAACGGCTCACTTCTAGTCCTCCCAACTTCTAAGGTAAAATATTTTCCTTCCGAACAAGGCATCCATCAAAATAACCCTTTTTTTATTTTGTAAATTAAGTGATCACTGAGGTGCTTGTGACTGGTAGACCTGGTACTCGTATATCTGAACCCAAAGGACAAGTCTGGAGACAATGGCCCGAACACCTACTGCCGAGAGGCAATTACGAGCAGGACTCTCAACCCCAGAGGACAATGCACAGTGAAGGCGACTTTTATGACAAAAAAAGAACCGGCACAAAGCAGCAAGGACCTCTCTCTTACGCAACTTTTCCGTTTCGTCGACGTTAAGATTTGCATTTCAGAGCCCGGGAGGACTTCAGTTTCAAACCTGCTAACTTCCCACCCTGTGGTCGTGGCGTTACAGCGAAAACTTTCCGGCCAGGCCGAGACATGAAGGCTCCGGCCCGAAACAGGGAAGGGGGGAAAAAAAACAACTACAAAGGCCAAACAAAAAACCCCTCCCTGCGCAAACACGCCCCTGAGATGGCAATGCCATGGCTTTCTATCCCGGTGCACGTCCTTGCAATTCCCTAAGAACGACTAATGGCGACTTTAAAGCGAGAAGACGGCCTCTGGGCTCAGGCCAGGCTTCCAGTTCCGCTGACAGCGTCTCCGGCGACAAACAGCCCGAGAGGAGCCCTTCCGCGCTGATTTCCCGGGCGGAACCGGGCGACCCCGCTCTACTCTCCACAACATCCGCGCTGCAGACGGAGGAGGCCCCGAGGGATCAAGTGACCTGCCCAGGGGGACAGGCTCCAAGCGGGGAAGCCCGGCGAGGCCCAGGCCGCCCCTTCGCCCCCGACGGCCGCCACCCCTTCGCCGGGTCATCAGTGACCCCGAGGCCCAGGCCCTCTCACAGGCCCGGGCACTAGGTCGCTCTTCTGCCCCGAGTGCCTCGCTGGCTTCCCGGAGTCGGGAGCGTCGCTCCAGGGCCGCGGGGCCCGACAGGAAGCACCCACTCCACCCCCCGCTCCACAGGCCTTTCCTCCTCGCCTCCCCCCTTACCCTCCACGGTCACGATCCCGGTCCCGGTCCCCAAAGCCGCCTCCGCGCATGGTCCCAAATGGGTAGAGGTCTGGGAGCGGGGCACGAATGGCCGCGCTCGGGAGGGCCTGCGG